AAAAAAAAAAAAAAGAAAAAGAAAAAGAAAAAAAGGATATAAATTCCATGGGAAAACTCTTTGAAAACTTTGGGCTTCATCTAAGGCAAACTTGTCCAATCCATGGCCCGCCGGCCACATGTGGCCCAGGACAGCTTTGAATGCAGCTCAGCACAAATTTGTAAACTTTCTTAAAACATTATGAGACTTGTGTGTCTCTGTGTGTGTTTAGCTCATCAGGTGATCCTCTCTCCTTGGCTTCCCAAAGTTCTTGGATTACAGGCATGAGCCTCCGCGCCTGACCCCATTCTACCTTTTAATTAGGAACATCACTTCCTTTACATGCCACACCTACCTGAACTTCTGACGCCAAGCCCCCACTTTCACTGAGCTGGCAAACACGCTCCTTTGAGTCACTCAGCTTTAAGTCTACCCTGCTTTGAAGCAGAGTCAAGGCCCAGGGGCGAGGGGAAGAATTCATTGTCCCTTGGTTCTCTGTTCACCCTGGTCATGGCTGAGGCATCTAATGCCCCTTTCTGAAGGCTGCCTCAAACCTGCAGCCCCCCACTGCTTCTGAGCCATGCGTGGGACTTGGGATTGAGGAGTGCCCAAGAAGTACCATGTAGCTGCTTGTGAGGATAGCTCTGTTGGTAGGTCTACCGGCTCTATTCCAGGTCACGTCAGAGATCCTCCTCTGAGAATAAACCATGGAGGCTAATGCTTCAGGTTGGGTGCAGTCAGAATTGAGGTCAAATCCTGCAAGGCCTGTTTTGCTCATCTGCAGAGTGGGGAGGAGCTAACAATACTGCCCTCCTCAAAGTGGCGTGAAGAATTCAATGTCTTGGTGTTTGTAAAGGGCGTGGCGTAGTGCCTGACACGTAGTCCGTGGGTTGTCTTGATAGAGGCCGTCCCTTCACCCTTGTTCATTATTGGATGGAGAAATCAGGGTCCCAGAGACACTGGCTGGCTGGGGCAAGATCATCGCTCATTCCTATTGACAGCTGGGTTAAAGGTGCAGAAGACATGCTTATTCAATTTGCAGATGACCCAAAAGATGCAGCGGCTGGTATTTTAAATGACCAAACAAGGGCTCAAAAGCCCCTAAAGCAGATGAGATGATGGACGAACCCCTCTAGGGAGGGATGTAAAATTAAAAGGTTTTGCATGAAAGAGATGTTGGCAGAAGTTTCTTTGCACATGGAGACAGCTGCCCCAAATGACTGATCTCAGGCTGAGTCTATAGAGGTATAGGTTGACGATGAGGGAGGTGAGAGCTGCAGGGTTGTGTTCAACTCTGGTTGTCGTTATGTTTGAAGAGACAGTGAGAGACCAGAGCCCAGTTTGTGGAGGGTAAAGGATAGTGAGGAACTGGGGATACTGATCTTGGAGAAGACTAAAAGGGGCAGAGGCAGGAACAGTGGTATAACCCTGCCTGGCTCCCAGGGCAGAGCTGGCACCCATGGAGATAACAAGGGCCTGAGAACCAGCTCTGTGGCTATCAGAACTGTCCCAGAGTGAATCAGAGTGCCTTCAGAGGTAGTGAGCTCCCCATCACCAATGGTCTACAAGTAGAACGAGGAAAGGATTCCTGTTTCCAGCTCTCAGATGGTTTAATCAACAACAAAAAACTAGTCCCTACTGATAAAAATTTCTGTTGGCTACATAAACATATATGGTCAACAGACATGTAATCCGTATTTCCCCTATTTTAAGGTTTTCTTTATTTTTTTTTGTTTTTGAGACAGCGTCTCACTCTGTCACCCAGGCTAAAGTGTAGCAGCAGGACCTCGGCTCACAGCAGCCTCGACCTCCTGGCTCAAGCCGTTCTCCCACCTCAGCCTCCTGCGTAGCTAGGACTATAGGCGCCTGACACTCACCTGGCTAATTTTTGTATTTTTTGTAGAGGTGGGATTTTGCCATGTTGCCCAGGCTGGTCTCAAGCTCTTGGGCTCAAGCGATCCACCCACCCCCGGCCTCCCAAAGTGCTGGGATTACAGGCGTAAGCCACCATGCCTGGCATACTTTAAGAAAATGAATATTACAGAAATTGGGACTAATTTACAATCAATGCGTAGGTTTGTATCCTTCCTTCCTGAAAAGTTGTTATCTGAATCAAAATGAAGTATATGATCGAGCAGGTTTCTGTTGACAATCAATCTGTTTTTCACTTTTGTCATTAGAATATATGCCTTGAATTTAAAATCAAAGTATCTAAATAGATAACAAATATTTGTAAAAAATCCAGCCTCCTCTTGTTAGTGAAGCCACACTCAATCTATTGAATCCATCAAGCGCTGACATTCCACCTTGTTGCCGTCCTGCCTCTGAAAGAGAATGGACCGGCTATTAAACCAGTTTTTTTTAGCAAATTCGGAGCAGCAGGTTCTTGGCTGGGGGGAAAACATTCCACTTATCAAGAGATATTATTCCTACAAAGCATGAGAACCTACTTCTTCATAAAGAGAATTTGGAGGGAGCTTTTGTTCTGCAGAGACAACATCTGGATTTGAATACATCCATGCTCAAAAGGAGATTTCTCATAATGGACCCAACTGAAAGCACTCAGAGTACAAGGACCCGTAAGCTTTCAAAAGAAGGCACTTCAGGAGACTCGCCAGGGGCGCTCCTATCCCCGGCAGCGCGAGTTTTGGAGGTCAGTGGAGGGCTCTCGCGCCGTGTGTGTAACTTTCATACTCAAAGACTTATCTTCATCCTCCACCCCCACCTGCTGCAGAAACTTGGCGCTTGAATTCATTTAAAAACATTTGTGGTTTCAGAAGCCTCCTTTTTATTATAAAGCTGCCAAGGAGATCTTAGAATGAAAACCATTTTTAGAGATGAGAAAGAAGGAAGCCGGGCCAAGGCCAGCCCGGCTCTCAGCCGAGGGCCTGTAAAGGTGACACGTGGGACATGGCCACCTGCAGATCCTGGAGGCGGCTGGGTGGAGGCGCCTGGGCGGAGGCGCCCAGAGGGACCTGGGTTTGAATCCCTGTTCTGCCAGTCCTGTCCATGGCTGATCTTGGGGAAGTTGTGTAATCTCTGGGCCCTGCGACGCCCTTTCCTGGAGCTGGAACGAAGCCCCTTGGAACCCTGACATCAGAGGTGACGCTAGTCTTCGCAGGCAATGACTTGGCGGAATGTGATGCCACTCCCTAACCCACGTCCGGGCTGGCAGGGGGGTGTGTCACCTCCCACCAGGTGGTCCGGCTGCTTTGATGGACCTTCACTCACTCCTGACAACCTCGTTCTCAGCTAGCACGTCAACAGACTGGCCTTTGGCGCCCCCTGCTGGTGACTTCAGGGAGAAGGGTGACTTCCTGAGCCGAAGGAAGTCCTTCCTGGGGTCTAACCTCTACCTCTGGCTTGATGAGGCAACTGAGGTGGCTTGCTTTCTCCTCCACCCTAGAAAATAAACTCATATAGAGTCCAAGCAGTTATTTTTCTTTACTAGGCGGGGCCACTGTAAGCCCCAAATGTAGGCCCCCCCTGGAATGAGCCCTATGCAGGCTTTCTAAGGACAAGGGCCCTTCAGGGAGTCGGACTGTCTTGAGGATGGAGTGCATGTGTGGGGGCTCTCACCTGGGCATGGGAAGATCAGAGGGACCCCAGAGGTCAGGGTTTGTAGATGAAAAAATGAAGGTAGGGAGCTTCAGCCCGAAGGCAAAGTTTTGGGCCAGCCCCAGCCCACTGCCCTCCTGGGACCGTTGTTTTTTTTTTTTTTTTTTGAGACAGAGTCTCACTCTGTCGCCAAAGCTGGAGTGTAGTGGCGCGATCTCGGCTCACTGTAACCTCCGCCTCCCGGGTTCAAGCAATTCTCCTGCCTCAGCCCCTCAGCCTCCCAAATAGCTGGGACTATAGGCGCATGCCACCACGCCTGGCTAATTTTTGTATTTTTACTAGAGGCGGGGTTTCACCATGTTGGCAAGGATGGTCTTGATCTCTTGCCCTCGTGATCTGCTTGCCTGGGCCACCCAAAGTGCTGGGATTACAGGTGTGAGCCACCGCGCCTGGCCTGGGACCAGATTTATCGTCGTTTTCCTGTAATTGGTGAAGGGCCTCCAGTTGGCCATTTCTCTGAAGATTAGAGAAAGCAAGAGAGATTCGAGCTGAATACAAGGAGGGACGTCTTAATGATGGGGGATGCCAGACCTCAGAAAGGGAAGCAGGGGAAACTTCCCGCTGAGGGCAGCCTCCAGTGGAGTGGGGTCCAGGCCAGGTGGGTGAGATGGCCCCAACACTGTCCGTCTGGGGGGGCCTGGGACTAGCGTATAGTCTATGGGGTTCTCAGGATGGAAAGTCCTCTTGAGAGGCTCATGGTGGTTGGGGCTTTGGCAGATGGGATGGTGAGGACGGGCAGTGGGAGAGACCAGGGCTTAGAGGCATGGCCACCCCCAGCCTTCCCCACCTGGAAAACTCATCTTCCTTCTCATCTTGCCTCCTCCGTGGTCACTGTCTGGTCCCTGCAAGGTCACGTAGCTTCCCTCCGTGTGCCCCCGTACCCCAGCGGAGCTCGTGTGCTGTGATGGCAGCCTCTATGTCTGTCCTCCCTGCTGGGCTGTGAGCTCTACGTGGGCTGAGAACTATCTGTCTTGCTCCAGCCTGGCTCTGACTCCAGCACCTGACACAGCTAATCCTGCCTGGCATGTCTCTGTGCTCAGTGACTTCAAATGAGAAGAGGCCCAGGGGCTTCCTTGGGCCAGCTAAGCTTGGCTTTAGAAAAAGCTGGGGCAGCTCAGGCATGGTGGCTCACACCTGTAATCCCAGCACTTTGGGAGGCCAAGGTGGGTGGATCACCTGAGGTTGGGAGTTTGAGACCAGCCTGGCCAACATGGTGAAACCCTGTCTCTACTAAAAATACAAAATTAGCTGAGCATGGTGGTGCATGCCTGTAATCCCAGGTACTCTGGAGGCTGAGGTAGGAGAACCTGGGAGGCCGAGGTTGCTGAGGTCACGCCATTGCACTCCAGCCTGGGTGACCTGGGCACTCTGACTCAGCTGTAGGCTGACACCCCTCTCCTGCTGGCTCTGCTTCCCACGCTGGACCCATACCCTGCATGGCTGCCTTGTGTAATCTGCCTGGGTTCTGACACTCAGCCTGGGTTCTGACACCCACATCAGACTGACCCCATGGGGGTGACACCCCCTCACCCATTTGTACTCTAATAGCCCAGGGCCAGGCTGCCTCCCCCAGTGGTCCCCTTCCTAACCCTGCTAGGACATCCTGCTGTGTTCCTCTGTGGCTCCCCCATTCCCTTGCTCTGCTGCCCCTGATGGCTTTAGGACTGAATTATTCAGGAAGGAAAGGAGAGAGGAGGAGCAGAACTGTTTTTGAAAAAATTATTTTTAACTGTATAAATTTTTGTGCAAGAAAAATTTTGGACAGAATAATACAATGGAGTTGCTGTGGTTGAAGAAAGAGTGAAAGAGAGATGGAGAAAGAGAAGAAGGGAGAGGAGAGAGTGCAGAGAGGAGAGGGAGGGGGATGGAGGACAGGGGAGGGGAGGGGGAGGAGAAGGAAGAGGACAGGAGAGGGAAGAG